AGAGGGTGGAGAAGGGGGAGATGGTGCTGTAACATATGGTGCTTTATGTGACGTGCCATAAGTTAGAGCATGGACCTGCATACCTGTCAGCACCCAAAGTTAAGTGTCCAGATGTGAGAGCCAAAGAGAGCACACAACTATACCAGGTTTAAAGCATTTAAGAACTTGTCCAACCACTGAACATGAACAGTTTTAACTATGGGTAGTACATGTTGCACAGGGTTAATGAAAGCAGTGCAACTATGTGGAGATCAAGTGGCAAGTTGAGCAGTATTTGTTGAATCCAACTAAATGTCTCATTCTAATGCATTCATCTTGTTATAGAAAATGATGAAGTCATCTGTTCATCTTCTCTCCTGCTCTTAAGTTGCCAGTGTAAAACAGCCTCCAAAGAGAACATTCATGCCTAGACATGACCCTTCTTAAAATAAATTAACCTTACCATTTAGACACCTGGACTCACCAACCTAATAATCTTAAAAAAAAAAAACAAAACAGCCAAGGGTTTCCAGTTTTCTCCTCTCATTTCTTTTAAGGAAGCACACTAGAGGGTTGCAATACACTAGCAGTTTTAAAAAGACATTTATCTTAGGATTTTCCTCAATTTGGTCCTGCTGGTAGCCATCTTATTCTTCTAACTTTCATCACAAACAACCCCTTCTACACCCAAAGCTATGCAGAATTTTTACCAAATGTAATAGCTGTAAAATACATAACAATCAAAATTTAAGATAAACTCAGAAAAATATTACATACCTCAACAGCTGGGACAATGTCTATACCAACAGTCAAAAATTCTTCAAACTTTAGAAATGGATTAAAGCAGCTGCCAACATCAAGCAATCTGATCTTTCCTGAGGGGTAGAGCAATCTAAAAAGAAGCAGAAATCCAGTTTGATCAAATACTATTTCAGAACACAGCTTCTAGAATTTCAGACCCCTGGGAGATGTTACACTTAAGACATGTTAACCAAGCCCTGAATAGTAACCTGGCCATACATTAAGGAAACTATTGGCTTTGCAAAAAAGGGAAACCAGCCCCCCAAAATACTGCACAAAAATGATGTGCAATATTTTTTTAGCTGGTTTCTATCATGCCTTAAACTGAACATATGGCAGGATGAGGAGAGCACTGGTAGCTTCCACTGGCCCCTGGCATGGTCCCTACTGGCCAAAAAATCAACTATCTGTTGGCTGGATCAGGACTGCACCAACCCTGAACTAACACTGTTGAAGTCCCAGAAACTGGTTGAAAAATCAGCTGATCATCAACTGAATCTGGGACTACACCAGGGCTCAAACCCACCTTAGTGCTGACCCTGAAGGGGGTTCAAGCCCTGATGCAGTTCCAATCTAGGTGATGACTGGAATTATTATAAAACAAATTTATAAATCTTCCACATGTATAATTTAATTATTGGAGGAGTAGTTTTATATTCAGGGTCATCTTATATTTGATTAAATGTAGTACTTAACTGGCTTAACTAGTACAAAGTATGAAAAAGGATGAGACTTCACCAGTTTGCTAAAACAGACTAAAGATAATGAATGCCATCAGTCCACACTTTGATTGCCTTAATTTGTTATTTTCATGATCATATTTAAAAAGTAAAATTGAGCTAGTTTCATATTATAGTTAAAATGTGTCCAAATGAACAAGTAGATACAAAGAAAAAAATGGAGAAAAATAAATCTCTAAATACGTACGGATTTACATTTCACATACGTTATTTTTGTTCTCTATGAAGCACTACAAGCACATACAATTTTACAATAAGCATTTAATGCAAATTATATTATACACACACACACACACACACACTTTTCTGGAAAGTTCATTACAGATTAAATTTGTGCCATAATAATGTTTGAAGGCAGAAATCCTATTAAAATGAATCTAAGATCAATGCTAACTTCCAATTATCAGTATTGTATAACAATAATTTATCTGTACTGCAGGATTTGTTTTTACATCATTTGAATAGATTATCCAGTGTGCCCCAGAAATGAACAGCTCTTAAATTTTGGATTTTGAAATATCTATTGTATGACAGCATTTTGCATACTGCATTTGAGTTTACTGTAGATGAGAGAAATATATCATCTTTGAAAGACTCCATTTTCAAAAAAGTCAATTCAATGTATTGTTGAATTCATTTCCTTGGATACAGGCTACAAAGTAGTAATAGCTAAAAACTAATACTTCACTAGTCAGAAATGAAGGCAGGGCAGCCAGGGTGGCATCTCATTCAAGAAGGCCTCAGTTTTTGTACGCTATAGCCTATTTCAGTGGTACCCAGCCTTTTGGTCCCACAGGCCAGGTAAGTGGGGTGGAGTTGATCTGTGGGCCAGATCTGGTCCATGGGCCTGACCTGGCATGTGTCCTGATCCAGCAAACAGGGTTGGTCTGGCATGTAGTCCCAGTCCTACATGCCAGATCAGGCCCCAGCCCTGACAGCCTTGTGTGCCAGATTGCACCTGGGGCCCTGGGGCCTGTGCTCAGGGCCATGCCACCTGGCCTGTAGGGTATGGAAATATGGCAGGGAAGCAGTGACAGTGGTAACAGGCACCACTTCCCCACCACCTCTGGGGAGACCTGTGGGCTGAAATGACATGGCTCTGCAGGGAAGATCTGGCCCATTAGCAAGAAGTTGAGCGGCCCTGGTCTACTTTGTCAGACGCTATGAACAGACTTGCACAGGGCAGAGGTACTAAACTAAAAGCATTGAAGTAATTTAAATACAAAGGATAGGGAAAAGACAAGAACTACCCTTCTCCAGTCAGAGTTATTAGTCTCAGCTAGAAATGATTATTTACTGTTGACTAGGAACTGCTTGGAAAATTTTGAAATAAAACAGAAACTAACAGAATACATACTGGACACCCTAATCACCAACACATTCTAGTTTTTACCACATTTTTAAAAATCTCTCTAAAAGGTGAATTTCTTGGGCATAGGACCACATATTCTTTATTTTCATTATGGAGCCCAATCCTGAACCTGTAGTATTAAAAAACAGTAATAGAGGTATGTACAAATCCTACCTTTGATGCTTTTAAAACACTTACATTAGATAAGATGCAAGAAAAAGGTTCACATCCTACCTTTCTTACAGGGCAGTTTTAGATATAGGAGAACTTGGCTATTTCAACAGCAGATCAAAGGCGACATAAAAGATGCCATTATTCAGAAAAGTATTTAGCTTTGGCCTGTTTTTCCTTGTTATAATGAAAAGCACTTTATAAGAGGATAAAACATTAAGAGGAAAAAAATCAGCAGCACACACCAGTTTCTAACCTAATTCTTTTAGAGGAAAATCTTAATGGTTCCAAGGTCCTTGCCAGCTGGTAGTTGTGCTAAATTAATTCTTCACAAATGCAAGAAGTTCACAGAAGATTATTCAAGGGCCAAAACAAAATTATTTTGCCATCCAGCTTGAGGCAGAAAAATAAGAATTCATTTTCCAGCCATAACGTCTATGCAATCTATGAAATTTTTCCAGTAGGTTCTCTTTAGGGAATAAAAAAAAAAGTTAGGATTTAATGAAGCTGTAGAGAAGATATGCGGTGCTTCCTTCCAAGTAATTAAAAAAATCATCACTTTAAAACACAGACTGAAAAGCACACAGCAGATTCCTTTTAGAGACTAGTTTACTGGTGTAGTCTACCTGACAACATTTGTACAAGAAAAGCTATGAGAAGCAATGACTAGAACAAGGTGGAACATGAATGACCTCTTGAAAAAAACATCAGTTCTGCTTTTCTTTTGCTTTAGATCAGGGGTTGGCAACCCTCACCACGCATGCCAGAGCATGTCATGCAAGGTCATTTTGCTTGGCACACCACAGCCAGCCTGTGTTCTGGGCAGCTGCCGCTGGCCACGGAGCCTGAGCTCTTGCAGCAGGTGGCTGGGAGGCTGCAAGAAACCCAGCCTCAAGATCTGGCAGCAGCTGCCCAGAGCCTGGGCCAGCAGCAGCTGGACTCCATGGCAGCCACAGCTCCATGCACGCCTCTGGGCGGACGATGGGAGAGGGGCTGAGGTTACGCTGCCCCAGGCCCCGCCCCTGCCATCTGCCCAGAGGCATGCATGCTGCCACAGAACTGGTGCCAGTGCTCCTGAGCCCAGTGTAGCTGTTTGCAACCTGCTGGCCGCCTGCTCCACCTGCCCAGAGCCTGGGCCAGCTGTGGCAGGCAGCCGGGAGGCTGCAGACAGCTACACTGAGCTCTGGAGCCCTTGACTGAGCTTGGCAGTGGTGCAGCTGTACATGCGCCTAGAGGTAGATGGCAGGGGAAAGGCACTGCCCCAGGCCCCTCCCTGCAGGCACACATGTACCTGCTGCCACCACAGAGCCATTGCCAGCACTGTAGAGCCCAGTGCAACTGTTTGCAGCCTTCCAGCTGCCTGCCACAGCTGGCCTAGGCTGCAGGGCGGGAAAAGGGCCGGGGCAATGCAACCCCAGCCCCTCTCCCACCATCCACCTGGAGGCACGTGTGCGGCTACCACCAGCAACAAGGATCAGGTTCCTTGCAACTCTTTTGCAGTCTGCCTCTCGCACTCCGAGTCAAGGCATCGGTCAGGGTTTAGGTGCTTTTGGCATTCTGGCCAAAAATGTTGCCGACCCCTGCTCTACATGGCTGGTCAACCTCATAAACTGAACCCTAAAGATCTTGTGTATGCTCTACAGCCTTGAGAAACTAGATATGTTATCCTGAGTATTGAGCTTCCTCTCTTCTCTGCCAGACAGGTTTTACTAGTTTTAAGGCCCAGCTTATGAAGGACTCTGTTGGTTACAAGCTCTTGCACTGGTCAATGTATTTTAGTTCAAAAATGTTTTAGTGTTAATGGTGGGGCCCTACCCTGATATCTGTATTAAAACTTGCATTACTGAAAAACAGCATAGCTTTGTTCTATTCTCCTGTAGGGATTATGCTGTATGCAACACATGCTAACTGTTACCTTAGTATGAACTGTTTTGTGTGGACCCTTCTTAAAATCTAAGTTTTTGCTGAGGAACGCAAAAAAAGTAAAACCACTAGATACAGAGCTCTAGATATAAATATATATACAGATATACCTTGTCCTAAAATCCAGAAGATAAAACCAAGTACTTCCAAGTATGCTGTATGCATTATGAAACACACCATATTGGCAATTTTCAAAGTTACCCAAAGAATTTGAACACAAAAACAGATTTAACTTCCAATTCCTAAGATTTATCTTTTTAGCACAGAGAAGAAAGATAATCTAAGCCAGGGTGGGCAATTATTTTTGGCAGGGGGCCGCTTACTGAGTTTTGGCAAGCCATCGAGGGCTGCATGACAGGCAGCCCAGGGCAGATTAATATTAATTTCCTAAATTTTTTAGGGGCCCCACAGGCCAGATAAAATGGCTTTGCAGGTCACATCTGGCCCCCGGGCTGCATTTTGCCCACTCCTGATCTAAACCCTGACCATTTCAAATGCACACTTTCACTTTGTAAATTGCTCAAGTCCTATACTATAATTATTTAGCTGGATGAAGGACATTAACTTCCTTCTTGACAACTTCCCTAACTGGAATACAGTTCCTTACCAGCTGCATTACAGAACCAACTAGATTGTAGTAGATAACACCAAAATATTGTAAGCAGGTAAAACAGAAGAAAAACAAAACAGAAGCACAAAAAAGGGGTTAAACATGTCCTCTCCCGCCCCCACTCCAAAGGTCACACAGCTGCTTAGTGGTAGAACAAACAATATAATGAAAGCCAACACTTCTAGTTCTAGGACCCAGTAATTACTTAAGCAATAATTGTGGGGCAGAGAGGGAGCAGAAAATCTAAACTGTATCATACTGTCTGAGAAGCTGAATTCAGCTAATGGCTCTCTATG